CTCTACTGTGGTTGATCCGATATCAATAAATTTTCTCTTTCTATCTGTTCTATCAGTAGAATTTCCTTTGATTGTTGATATTTCATTCTGATTCACACCATTGTTCTATCAATAATCATCGATAGGTTTACCCCGTTGTTTAAGGTTTGCAAGTTCCCCCAGGGGATTAATACTTCGCGGGGGACCAAAGCGAAGGATGCAAGCATTCTTGAATTGGAGCCAGGAGAATTGTTCACCATCTTGTAGACGTTTGGTAAACCACAACTGAGCAATCTCAGTCATCTAGTATGCGGCAGTGTGAGCCTTTTCAGAATCGGAATGAGGAGCTTTCTCAAAAAAAAGTTCATGACGGCGTAGCCAAACGAGTGGATCCTCCGTGCCCGTAAAGGTAGGAAACTCCAGTTTGGTGTATCGGGTCGGAGGGTTAATTTCAGTCTGAACGGCGGTCGAAGAGATAGGTATTGTGTGTGTTGTGGAAGAGGTTACTTGAGCAGTAGAGTTGTTTTTCTCCATGAAAGTTTCCATTACTTTGGCAAGGCTGCCAAAGTTCTTCACAGCATCGGTCAAGGAATTCATAGTAAGGGCGTCAACATTTTGCATTGTGGTGGTGAGATCCTCTTGGAGTTTCTTTAATTCTGCCATGTCGACGACCCGCAACGGAACCAAAATGTTATGTTCCCAGGCTAGATATCGTGTCAACCCGCGGTTGGTGAGGGCAGGGAGATGGAAGTCCTCTATTTTTGTAGGTAATAACGCAAAATAAGGGAAGACAGGGAAGGAGATAAAACTTTAGGAATTTTATGGAGTTCCTTTCTCCTTGATAAGTACTTAATTCTGGCTTGTTTATTATTCAAAGCAGGAGTCCCTACTCCCTACTTATAGTAAGGGTTACAAGAACCACTAAGGAAGGAGAAATTACATTAAATCAATTCTTAAAAAAGACTCATCTAATGATGGAAAGCAATAAAGTTGCAGATCAACTTAACTACGGAGAGTAATTAACTAGTCTAATGATGGAAAGCAATCAAACAATAAATCAGAAATCTGCTGTAAAGGAAATTAATATCCTTCCACAATAAATTGCTTAATGAGCTAAGGATCTGCCACTGATGCAACGGCGCTTATAGGTCTTTCCATTGAATGCATCATAACGGCGACCAATGTTGGTACCCACACTTCCTTTGTCACTCCTGCGACAACACTGTACTCGAGGTCGGGTAAGTCTAACCGAAAGAATCCACCCCGTTTAACAAGGTAATGTGATAAATGTGATATCGTCTTGTTTGGTTCAGGTTGTCATATTATAAGTTGAATTGAGATTACCTCAATTAAAGAAAATGAGGTAACATAATAGCATTGATCTCTTTACCTAGGGTTTCTTAGGTCTTCTAAGTTTACCTTGGTAATATTTTAGACTAGTCCAACTTTGTCTCTAACAAACTAACATTTTAATGAACTACATAAACACAAATTCAATGAACAAAGCAGATTAAGGTAAACTAACAATTTAATAAGCTACATAAACACACATTCAATGAAGAAAACAGATTAAGGTAACCTTATATTCCTGTAATCATGCATTATCTTCTGAATGGTAATCCGATTATTATCTAAGGTAATCATACATTCTTTGAACCAAACGCCTCTGATAGGATTCTAGGCTGAAGAAAATAATAATAAGAATATTATAATAATATTAAATAATTGTAATAGTATATTAGAGGTCCTGGGCCAGGTATTAGTTAACTTTGGGCTGGCCCATAAGTGAGAGTATAAATAGAAGGGAGGGGAAAAGAATAAGGTAGGCAGAACTTGGATTGGACTGGGACTTGGGAGAGACGAGGCACTCTCGAATTTGCTCTCATCTGTATCGCCAGATTTTTGCTTGTACCTAACAATGGTATCAGAGCAGTCGACCCAGGGAATCTTCGATCTACATTCACGTGATAAACAAATGGAGCAGCGCAGGAAACACGAGGTGGAGAAACGCGAACATGATGATCAGAAAGTAGTCGCATCTGGTTTGCGCGCGAACAGGGAGAAGCGCTCTGGTTTGCGCAAAGAAGATCGACGGTCAAAACTGGCCGCCTCTGATTCAGGCGGACAACTGGAGAAGCAATAGAACAGTGAGAAACGCACCAGCAAGGAAAAGGAACGTGCGGACATGGAGAAGCGCGAGATGCGCGGGTCTCCCCAAAAGGGGAAGGAACCACATCGAAGATCCGATTATGGTGCTTCGCGCGGAAAAGAGGAGAAGCCGACGGAAAAGGGTGAAAGTGATTGGGCTAAGGAGATGTGCCATATGTTGGGCAAAATTCGACACAGACTCAAGCGACATAGATACAAAGCGAGGAGCCCTCCAAGATGCCGTCGGCCAATTTATTCCAGTTCGCAATCGCTAACTTCACTTCCCAGTTCGTTTACTTCATCTCTAGCTTCAACCAGTTTGCAATCGCTAACCACTACGTCGCGATCTGTTTCTCCTCGCTTATCTTCATCGCCAGCAGCTTCATCAGATCTCCCGGCTTTGCAGGAAACAGGTCCGGATGATGATGCCACTCAAACTATCGGATATCCGCAACATGATCTGGAAAAATTGAAACTGCCTGAAGTGGATGAAAATGCACTTCCTTCGGGAAAAGTGGAAGAGCAACTGTCAAGGCAACTGGAGGATCAGTTAAAAGTCACAACTACTACAGATGAGGCGAAGAGGGAGTCTGCTGTGATCGCAACAAAAGAGAAAGTACTAAAGAGGTTTCAGTGGGGGAAGGAGGCAGTTAACAGGACTCAACCAGAATGGGTTCAAAATTCATTTGCACTAAAGTTTAGCATTGAACGGGTAGGCATAGTATTGAAATTCCGAGATGAAGACAAGAGGGGATGGAAGGAAAAAGGGGGCTCTATGTACAAACCTCAGCATGGTGTGGAAGGATTGAAAGGAAAGGCACTTACCAGTAAGGTTGGAGTAGGTACAAATCGTCAAGTCTTGCTTTTATGCTGTTGGTATGGTTTCCAGGTTTGGAATGTGGAAGAACATGGTGGTGTTCAAAATTCAGTTTCCAAGCAGGATGATATTGTTTGATTCATGAAAAGCTCACCCAATCCAATTTTGTCAAAGCAAAATATGCATGAAATTGCTAATAGTTGGCCATTGTTGATAATATGTGCTGATGTTCGAATTATGGGTTGGTTCTATTGCTTGAGATTTCACTCGTATGTACATCAGGTGAAGTTCATATCAGTTGTTCATTCTGTTAGATGCAGTTCTAGAGTTGTTAATGTCCTACCAGCAACTCCGATACACTGTGGTAATGCTGCAGTTTTAGAGATGGATGAGGTGAGGTATTCTTTAGGAGTAATTTCTGAGGAAATTAAATGGCACTGGGATGAAAATGTTCTCAATATCAAGGTTGGGACCAACGGTGTTACAGGACTATCAATTGTGCCGAAAGGAGGCAGGGTTAACATGGTTTATAATCATGAAGTGGATGCTGTACTTGCAACAACAGACGGGTCTCTTGTCAAATATCAAATAGAGGGATGCCAGCACTTGGCTGTGGAATCTCCAGGAGTGCATGAACTAAAATTTCAGAGATCTGTTTTATCAAGTGAAGGAGCAGTTCAGGGAGTGAGGTGTGACCATGCCAAAGCATTATCATGGTTTTGTAAGGCTGTTGATCTGGGCGAGGCAAGGGAAATTCTTGGAGAAATATATGTAAGAGGATCAGGGGTTGGGAGGAGTTACCCAAAGGCAATAGAGTCCGCTTATGATACTATAGAATTCTTTTACATGAAGGGTTATGGGGTGAAGAAGAACTATATCTTGGTAAAAGAGAATTTTGACAAAGATACTGATAATGATGAGTCTGCTTGGTTCTACAACGTTGGGGTTATGTATCTGAAAGAGCTTGGGGTTAAAAGGGAAGTGAAGCTGGCCGACAAGTATTTTATAGAAGATGAAGCAGATAATTTGTGGTGGCAAGTTTCTGTGCAGGGCAATGAACACGCTGCTCCACCCATTGGAGATGGATATTATTATGGTCAGGAACTCAGGATACTGACCGAGGTTATGAACGTGCAGCAAAAGCTTATAAGCATATCAAATCACAAGACAATGCTCAAGCCTTGTTTAAACCTGAGATACATGCATGAGCAGGGCCAAGGATTGCCGTTTCAGCATTTCTACCATCAAGCTTTTCAGGGTGGGAATGAGGCAACATGGTTTTCGTCTCTAACTTTGGCGAAAAGCAGTGTTTTCGGTGGACTCTTACTTGAATTATTGCTTTATGTGTTGGAATGTAGTTGCCGAGCTGCAATTTTTGTAACCATGGGTTCAAATTCTGATATTCCTAAGATCCCCTGGACACACGTAATGCAGGCTGAAATCTATAGGGAAGAGACACAGTTGCTGGGGAATTCAAACTTTTGCAACCTAAGGGAGCACACTGTTATCAGGACTTTGTTTCTACTTGCTTTTGAAGGGAAGAACACTAAGATGCAGCTCCAAGTATTGAAGTTAGAGGTCTAGAAAACCAGGATGTATTGGGAAGGAAAAGGCGCAAGGATGAAGATGAAGCGGAAGGTCAAGGCTGTTTCCTATCACCCACCTTGAGGACAAGGTGGTTGTTCAAGGGGGGAGATATGATAGGATTCTAGGCTGAAGAAAATAATAATAAGAATATTATAATAATATTAAATAATTGTAATAGTATATTAGAGGTCCTGGGCCAGGTATTAGTTAACTTTGGGCTGGCCCATAAGTGAGAGTATAAATAGAAGGGAGGGGAAAAGAATAAGGTAGGCAGAACTTGGATTGGACTGGGACTTGGGAGAGACGAGGCACTCTCGAATTTGCTCTCATCTGTATCGTTACTTTCTATTTCTTCAATTTCAGTTTCGTAATCAACAATTCATCGCCAGATTTTTGCTTGTACCTAACAGCCTCCTATTTATTATGCAAGGCATGACAAAAACCAACATATGAAAACTGAAATATATACCTTGACATTCCAATCATTATCTACCAATAGATTCGGGGACTTCAGATCACGATGAACAATAGTTGGTGTGCTTGTATGCAAGCAATTCATGCCCATTGCCTGCATAGAAAGCATCTAATTTTAAAGAACTGAAGAAGGCCAGCCAACAGAATTATAGCAGACTGAAAGTCTGAAACTTGGAAAGAGATTGGTCAGGACAATAATCTTATACCACATCAAGAGCCATTTTGATTCTGCGCTTCTCATCTATTTGAGAGTGAGGACGATGAATTATCCGGAACAAGCTTCCACTGGAAAAGAAATATAATGATACCAACCCGAGTTAGTGATCTCTGTTAAGCAGTATTATAAACACACAATACCCCCTTGTCCCAAAATAAAGCCTTGGTTCACAAATGTACAGCTTTTTATTTTGTAAGGTACAACTGTAATAAATTATGAAGCATAATTATATGCAACTTATTTGTTGGTTTAACTAAATTTGTTAATGCAACTTATTTGTGACTCTGTCATGGCTTTTTGTCAATAACTTGAGCATCATGATGAAATGCAATAAAAGCCACCATTCCAAAGGCGAATTTAGGTTTAAATTTAGAGCATATCAGGAGAGTCATGTGAGCATCATGATAAATATGCATTAAAAGCCAACATTCAAAAGCGTAGTTTAGGTTTCAAGTTATAGTGAGTTTCTGAGGAATAGGTAACAACATTCAACATTTCCAAGGATATCATTCGAATACAAAACTCTACTAAAGCACATTGCGCATAAAAGTGAAAATACCGAGGAAGAAACTCAGTGATGATCGAAAGATTTGGAGGTCTGGTTACTGCACCCATGAAAAGAACTACATTTGGATGTCTTAGACGTTGCATTATCCGCACCTGTCATTAAAATGGTCTTAAATTAAGAACTAGATTCTAATAGTTTTTTAAGAGAGGAAAAGAAAGATTAGACATGACAATAAGTAAATAATGAAGAGCAGTATCTTTTAAGGTCAGTTTGAGATTTGGGTTTTGGATGGGAAGGATTTGGAGGGTAAAGTGTATATTTTGATATATGTTTGAGATTTTACTCGGTAGAAGAAATAAGTAATAAGATAATAGCATATGATAATACAATAATCACCCTTCAATTTACAAAAATCGAATTAAGCCCCCCCCCTCCCCCCCCCCCCTCCCCGGGGGGGGGGGGCAATAGCCTCCGCCCAAAGATGGTCATATGATATATTTGAATTGTATGAAGAAGAAAAATATGCTGGAAGGAAGACAAAAGCAGGCAGACAGGAGCCCCATACTTCTCTTTTAAACTCAGCCAAAGCAGCACCCGAGAAATCCTGGTCAAGGAACTTCTTGACAGCAACCTCCTATTGTTTTAAACAACCCAGAATAAGAAACGATAAGCAAAGTATTATAATTATGAGGTTTTCAGTATGAGATGAATCACATCATGTAATAAGAATCCCAAAACCTAAATATATACTTTTCAATTTTCATATATAAATCTTACAGTGCCATTCCAATCAGCGCGGTATACCTCTCCATATGAACCTGAATACATATAGGGCAAATACATAAAAATATTGATTGAGCAGTCTAATAAAGTAATCATGCCAATAGATAAACACTGAAACAGGTATTTCCAAAAGAAACAATAGTAGATCATTCAAACTTTTTTTGTAGGCATGATGCTTGTTGCACCCAAAATCAGCAATAGTACATTCAAGTCATGTAAAACTATATGCTCTAACCCTATCTGTGTAGAATTTGTAAAGGAAAAAGGTACATTAATCATGTCATCTTTGCCACTGTGTGAACTGAAAAGTGGCTTTATCCCATCTCTTCCTGTTCTGAACAATATGAGAACACAAAAAGAAAGAGGCACAAAAAAGATGGGAGTTACACGAAATACTTAAACTGAACATTGAAAACGGATTCAGTGGTGATGGACTTCTCAAAGCTACCAGGAAGCATGCTGCTTTATTTTCACCCACAAAAAACACTTCTACCCAGAGAAAAAACCATTATGCAGATCACATTGATTATTCATAATACAAGTACATAGTCTAACATTGCTAAAGTTCCACTGCAGATCTTAGTCCATTTATGAAGATGGTGGAAAGCACCCATTCGCTCATTCCAGGTATAAAAAAGTTACCTAGTCCAATCCTTTCGCCAAGAACAAGATCACATTGATTATTCATAATACAAGTACATAGTCTAACATTGCTAAAGTTCCACTGCAGACCTTAGTCCATTTATGAAGATGGTGGAAAGCACCCATTTGCTCATTCCAGGTATAAAAAAGTTACCTAGTCCAATCCTTTCGCCAAGAACAAGATCTTCCCATGGAATTTCACATTCATTCACATCATCCAATACTTGATTAATCTGGGATAAGCTTAATCCTGTTGAAGTGTTTGAGTGTACTGGCTCCTTAAATTTCAAATCTGTTCCAGTGAACTTATGTTGGGTGATCTTTCTGCTGTTATTCTGCAGAGTGACTTCCTGAAAATGAGCTCTGGTTGTGTCTGCATCATTACTTTCCAGGAGGTCCCCATCCATTTGATATGGTTGCTCAAGATCACTTCTCTGGTTGTTTTCAACAGAAGACTTCCTAAATTCAAAATGAGTTGCCAACATCGGAGGGGTATCAAATAAAACTTTCTGCTGTACAGCTGAGGTGGAAGAAGCCACTGTTGATGCATTATAATTGTTTGCATCAAGTTTGATCTTTGGCAAAACATCTGGAACTTCATTGCATGCATAGCGATTTTTCCAATTCATAGGGACAGGAGGCTTGCCTGCGACATTTTTTGAAAACTGCACCCGACTGCCTGCGGTTCTAGAAGGGTTATTCTGAACCACGCCAGACCCTTTTATTTGAAAGGGGTTGAGATCAGCAAAAAGATTTTTTGGGTCATCACTATGTGGAACATTCACATTCACCCTTGAACCGTCACTAGCAACATTAGGTCCACGACCTCCCTTGTATAGGGACTTCCCAATCACCAATGATGTGATTTGATCCAACTGGTGAGAAGGAGAACCTTTACTACTTAATCCTGGTGAACCTGCACCAACACTTGCCTCGGAAAACAATGGATTTGATTCTGGCCTTACTGGTCTCGTGACAGTTAAAATATCATGTCCAGTAGCATATTTTCTATCATCCAAGGAGTCGAGCCTGGAGCCACTGGTTGAGCGGGCATTGGGAAGCTTATTATATGGCTTGAAACAAGTATCCTTTGCACCTAGAACTTCAGCTGGTATAAGTGTCCCGGGTGCACCCATGAGATCAACCAAAAACTCACTGGCAAAGAACAAATATAGATGATGTGCAGAACAACAACATAATATAGTATACATACAACAATAAAGTATATACCTTCAAATGATAACATGTTGGTATGCATGTGAGTTTACTCCCTCCACAAATTTATCTTCCTACTTTTCATTACGGTCCATCCCATAATAATCATTATGTTTCCTTTCAAATAAGGAAAGAATTGTGTGGCTGACATTGCTTTTCCCTTTCTAAATAAATCCCAACCACAAAATTTTATCTTAATAGGCACACCAAATTAAAACATGAGGATTAACTTGGGAAAGAGGGAGCATATCATTCAGGTGTGTAGACAACTAATATGCATCTCCTGAAAATTTAAATGAATGGCTGCAAACAATATAGCATTCCTGTGTAGTAAACAATCTCTAAGCAAAGTGACGAACAGGAAGTACTAAACACTACATTTAAATCCTACATGTAAACCCAATCAAGTCGGATTATTAAAAAGTAGTGCTTGATATAAAATAGGAAGATCAAAGGTAAGGAAAACAGTAGGACATGAAAGAAACAGAGGATAAAATGAAAAGACTATTGGGATGGTAACAGAAATGGCAAATTGGCAATTCGGAACTTGAGCATGTAATTTGCAAACTACCTCCCATTTGGTAGCTTTATTATGTTGATAGCATCATCCTCAACACCTGTGTAACCTTTAACTAGTCTACAAGGAATCCCAACATGGTCAGCCAAAACCTGCGGTAAAAAAGAAAGCAAAGCATTTAAAATGAAAAACAGGTTGTAATATGATAGGGGGCCCAACACTTCTCTTATTAAGTAGCTTAATAGCGTACAATAAGAGGGTTTTAGGCCCAGTAAATTAGTGGATGAGGGGTAGGCAGACTTTTGGGATCAGACTGGGAACTGGTGTGAGAATACTCAAAGTGTCTCACTTGTATTTTCTGTTTCTGGTTCTTCTCTTTCTTGTACGCTAGGCTAGGGTTTCTGCCATTGTATTTGCTTCAGGAATTCAGAGGTTTTATCTTTTGTCCTACTTAATACACATAAACTGTAGGGTCTCTATCATTGGTATCGGAGCACCATTCCTGGGGTTCGGTGGATGCCAGTTACACGAATGTAGATGGAAAATCGAGTGGGCAAGGTGGAATGGAACCTAGAAGAGATGCGAGCGGATATGGATGGAATACGATCGGAGATGCAAAGATGCATCAGCTCTTACTCAACCTAGGTCATAGGCGGTCCAGGGGGCGATCGCGACACTCGCAGAAGCAATTGCCGTCGGACAGGAGTTGGTCACACTCCAGTGGTAAGTCTCATAGCTCTGTAGCTTTGTCGAACTCCAGAGGTAAATCTGATACCTCGCGATCCATCTCTTTTCGGCGCGAAACCAGTGCGAACAGAATGTTCGTTTGAACTGGAAGGAGGATTGATCTTCCGTTATTTAATGGCGAGGATGCTTATGGGTGGACCATCAGGGTAGAAAGGTTTTTCAAGTTGAATAACATACTAGAAGAAGATAAGGTTGAGTTGGTAACCATTGCCATGGAGGACAAAGCATTATTCCGGTACCAATGGTGGGAGGGATAAAATGATGAACGGACCTGGAAACAGTTCAAAGCAGCCTTAATCAGATGGTTCCAACCGGAACTAGTTCAAAATCCATTTGGAACTATGCTCAGCGTCAAGCAAACTGAAAGTGCAATAGATTGTAGGGGGAGATTTGAAGTGGTAGTCACACCGCTGAGGCACACTGATACAGAGATGCTGCAGGCAATTTTTCTGAATGGCTTGAAGGATGAGGTGAGAGCTGAACTGAAACTTTATCTATCCGCTTCTCTATCTGAATTAATGGATCGAGCTCTGCTGTTAGAAAAGATAAACACGGCTATGAGATCAGGGATACATAAGGAAGAAGACAAAAAGTGATGGAAAGAACAGAGAGGGACTATGGTCAGGCGAGGCGTTTGAACTGGGTGGAGGCAGCAAAGGGAAGAACACCACCTATTCAAAAAACACATTCAGAGAACAAGCAGACTCTTTGAGAGAGCACATTCAGAGAACAAGCTGGAGGAATCACCAAAACCGAATAATGCATGGGAGGGAGGCCAAAGGTTGACACAAGCAGAGTTAACAGAAAGAAGTAAAAAAGGCATATACTTCAAATGTGGAAACAAATGGAGCAAAGAGCATGTTTGTGGAATGAAACATTATCAATTTGTGTTGATGGAAGAGCTAGAAGAAGAGAAGGGAACAAGTGATCAGCAGTCCGAACTGGACGTAGCAGATAACCCACTGAAACCTAATGTCAGATCAGTTTCTTACTACCCACCTTGAGGACAAGGTGATAGTTAAAGGGGAGAGCGATGACCAGGACCCGACACTTCTCTTGTTAAGTAGCTTAACAGTGTATAATAAGAGAATTTTAGGCCCAATAAATTAGTGGATGAGGGCCGGCCGAATAGGAGTGTATTATAATAAGCACAGTCAAGGGGAAAATGGGTAGGCAGACTTTTGGGATCGGACTGGGAATTGGGAGTGCGAGACGACTCGAAGTGTCTCACTTGTATTTTCTGTTTCTGTTTCTTCTCTTTCTTGTACGCTAGGCTACGGTTTCTGCCATTGTATTCGCCTCAGGAATTCAAAGGTTTTCTCTGTTTTCTCTACTTCATATATATAAACTGTAGGATATCTATCATAATATGGGACCAGTTTGTATGCATTAACCTTTGGGGATAAATCACAGATACAGTTAACCGAAGAACCAGCCTGAATTTGGTTGTCACTTCTCATTGAGGACCAAACTTGAAATCTATGTAAATGTGGGGAGCAACATAGAACAATTGGCATTAAGAGCCCATTTGGTAATACCCAAATCGGCTGTATTGGCTAATTCTGCTGAAATTTATGAAGTTCTGGCTGAAATGGTTGTATTGACCGATTTGTGAAGAAGACAAAATTAAAATATATTTTAATAATAAAATAAAGAAAAAATTATATGAAAAAAAAGCTAAAACAGTCCTCTACAGTAACTACAGTAACTTCAGCCAATACAGCCAGAAGAGTAACTCCAACCTTACTTTTTCTTATTATTACACAATTCAGCGCGCGAAATCAAAAGTTACATGTTTGATGGAAAAGTTGGCTGATAAGCCTGATAAGCCAAAAATCAAGGTTACCAAACGGGCTCTAAAACTTGAACTGGCTATTTAATAAAATATCTCCATCATATTTTTGTTGTTCGCTTTAAATACGCTATATGTATATAAATGGTCGTGTGTGCTTCTAGCATCCCAATTCATGCATTAACAACAATTTGTTCAGTAGTTCAAAACTTTCTTATATATACTCTTGCACACATAGTTGTTACGGCGGGGTTTTGCGGCGCGGCGCCTTTGGACTGCCATACCGCCATGGCGATATGGCGCCCGTCGTGGCGGAGTCGCGGCGATAAGTCGACATATACATTAATAAATTCATAATATGTTTTACATACTAAAAAGCCTACATGCAACACTTATACCCAACAATACTAATGAAGTAAATGAAGTAATAAAACATGTAATCATAGAAATAACATAATCCATATGACCATAACCATAAGCCTATAGTTCATCAAAACAACCACAAACATTATCCATAATCCAAAAACTAGAAAATAGAAATAAGTCAATAACATAATCCAACACAAAAAGACTTAAACATCATCAAGGAAATCGTCAAATCTAGAGTCAGCTTGGTTGTTATGAATGATATCCATGGCATCCTGATCCTCATCATCGACGTCTAAATTATCATTTGGAAATGGTTCACTCTCTTGACCATTCTCTTCAACATCTGTATCATCATTACGACGTCGAGAATAAACTCTAACTGAACTTGAAGGTTCACCACCATCACCTCTCCTAGGATTACGGCGATCTAGATTTCTTGAAGCACCAAGAGCTTCATCAACTTCATCCCATAAAAGATCACCCCCATGGTGAACTACTTGACTACCAGAATCATCAACCCACTCATTATCCCAAGAAAACTCTTCTAAAACCAAAGGGTTGAAACTACTTCCTTCTTCACGCCTCTTTTTGAACCTGCTGACAATCTTCCTATTGTACTGAATGAACACCAAATCATTCAGTCTCTTATGCTCCAACCTATTTCTTTTCTTGGTGTGGATCTAAATAAATAAATAAATAAAATTATTATCATTTGAAGTAAGTAGTTAAAAACCTATAGACTTCAAAAGGATGGCGTAACTTACAAATTCAAACGTACTCCAATTGCGTTCGCAACCCGAAGAAGAACAACAAAGGCCTATTATGCGTAATGCAAGTGATTGTAGCTCCAAAGCATGGCCACCAAAAGCATTCCACCAATCGACTAATAAGTAATAAAAATCACAAGTGTTTTAAGAATTCATATTTTATAAGTAAAAAAAAATTAAAATAAATACTATTATTTTAGTAACAACTAACAAGGTATGACTTACGAGGCGCCTTGGTTTTTTTATGTTTGATTGGCAATGGCTTTGCAAATCCTCCTCGCAAGAAATCATAATCATCAACTTGTTTGCTAATCTTGCACTCCAACTCATCATCACCAATCATCTTGTAAACCACATCATTGAACAACGCTCGTTGCTCATAAGCATATGCAGTATCAGTCCTCTTCAAGTCAAAATACTTAGATGGGTTGAGAAATAAAGCAGCCCCATACAACTTTACTTCCATTTGATCTGCCCAATGATCCTCAAAAATCTTCATTAGCTTTTTCAACACTCTGGGCCTACCTGCAAACGACTCATTTATTTTTTTCTTAGCTTCTCTCATAGCCATGGCAAGCTCAGGCATAGTCGGGTGCTCATCCCCATCAACTATCCTTGGAACAACAAGAAGTGGATGACATGCTCTCAAGGTATCCTCCACCCCATTCCAAAATTTAGTAGCAAGAATAGTGTCACATACCCTTTGCCCCACTGCTGTACTTGACAACTTCGAATTATTCCAATCTTGACTCACAAACAAGTTCCTCAAAGGTTCTCTATACTTGCACAAACTTTGCAAAGTGAGAAATGCTGTGGCAAACCGTGTAACACCAGCCCTCACTAGATCTCTTCCACCAGTTCTCTCCCGCATTGCGCTTAGAATCCTTGTGTGCCTATAAATAAAAGTGGTGCAACGTCTTGCACTATCAATCCAGGGCTTAAACTCAACGAGTTTCCCAATATCCTCCATCATAAGATCTAGGCAGTGAGCCGCACAAGGAGTCCAAGAAAGTGTGGGTATACGCTGCTCCAATAGCTTCCCAGCGGCTTTGTAGTTTGCTCCATTATCTGTCACTACTTGAATGACATTCTCTTTGTCAATCTTTTGAATCTGTTTCTCAAGCAATGATGCTAACAGACTTGCATCTTGTGACTCATGCGAAGCATCAATCGACTCTAAGAAGAAAGTCCCTTCTGGACTATTAACAAGAAAATTTACCAAGTGTCGACTCCTTTTATCGGACCATCCATCCGACATGAGTGTACATCCATATTGCTTCCAAGCAATTTCATGTTTCTCCTTCAACTTTTCTGTATCCTTCACAACTTCCTCCAGAAGAGGCACCCTTAATTCATGATAACTCGGAGGTTTCAGTCCGGGGCCAAACTGCCCGATTGACTCAATCATAATTTCATAGCTTCTTGAGTTTGCAGCATTGAACGGTATGCCATTCTCATAGAAAAAATCAGCAATGTGCCCATGAACTTTCTTGACCTCTTCTTTGGATCTAGTACAACCCTCAAGAGTCTGTTGACTCTTCCCCTGAGAATGCCTTTCTTCTATCACTTCTTCAGGTGACTTTCTAATCATTGAAGCAACAGAATTAGTTGGTTTACCTGATTTTGGTAGTGAATGCTGAAATTTTAGAGTGGACTGCGCTACACGCTTCCTTTTTATGGCTGTTCCAGAACTAGGAACTGGATGGATAGAAGAAGCACGAGATGATACTTGTGTCACAGGATCCTCGTCTAATTCATCATCTTCATCATCCTATTCAACAGGCACTTGCATTTTATTCTTCATTTTGCTCTTCATATAATTGCCTATCTTAGTTCTTATTTCTGCAGTTGTCTTTGTGCATTTTTCAACATCCCCGTAACCGCCAACTAAGTGTTGCTTCAACCGTTTAACTCCGGAATGCACTTGTCTTCCACAAAGTGCGCATTCTACCAAGTCCCGGTTATTCTTGTCCGGCCAAAAACCAAATTCCCATCCGGGATCATCCGATTTGGGTTTTCTGCTTGGATCTTTTGATGGATCATAAGTTTCCGGATCAGCCATGGTAAGCACTGTTTAAAAAATTTATTAAATGTAAAACTAAATAACAAAAATTTCACATTTAATGTTAAAAAATATATATATTAAATGTAATACAACACCGTCACACAACATAAATTTCAGCTTCAATTGAAGACACTGAAAAAAATTAGGAAATATAAAATTTAAAAAAAAACTACTGAAATTTATTCATTATTTGGGAAAAACTGAAATTTGTTTTCACAAATATACAATACTGACTTTTCAAAAGCTTTTTGACTTTCTGTAAAACATTATAAAGTTCATCACAACATTAAATACAACATTAAGTTCAAAGCATTCAACAAAATATTTAATACAATTTTTTTTGAAAAATATTAAATACAAAGTTTTTTTTGAAAACATTAAATACAAAGCTACTCACTGGATGATTTTAAACCCACGTAATTAACGAAGTTAGATGATTTTAAACCAAGTACCCAACTGGAGCAATAAGTCTAATAATTAAAATAAAAACACGAATCAAATACCCACTAAAGTTAAAAGTCTAGAAATAAACTGAAGAAGTAAAGCTGCGGACGATTGAAGCGACTAAGAGAGGCTCGCCATTAAAGACGGAAATACCTTGCGGACGATTGAAGACGGAAGGGAAGTAGTAGCGTGCGGACTGCGGGAGATGGATTGAGCGCAGATGGGACTCTGCGTTTAGACTACGGGAGATGGATTGAGCGCAGATAGGTCTGGTTTTTTTTTTGATGGGTTCAAAAAATTGGGTTTGTTTTTGGGCCTTTTCAAATAATTATGTCCTGCGTCCAGTTCATATAAGTCGTCGACTAGGCGTCTATGGCGTTTTACCGACGCCACAAAGACGCTACTTCGACGCCACAAGGTTTATGGCGTGTCGACAGCATATGTCGATCCTCTCTTACCGCCTGGACGATTTGGCGACGATAAGGCGACGCCATGGCGACGCCATGACAACTATGCTTGCACAGAACCTTTTGATGATACAAAAATGAGTCCACCAATAAAGTGAAATAGCGCTAGCTTTAATGGAAGTATAGTACTCACCTTGAACAGCAACGCACGATGACGTGACAACCCGATATTTAAGGATCCTATAGGCAGCACACTGGTGTGAAGAGAAGTTCTCAATTCCATACTTCTTTCCATCCATCTAGTTAGTATGATATTTGCATCCTTCACCTGCCCACCCAATTGTTCTATTACAAGTTCAGCAAGTCTCTGAACTAGCAGACCAATCTGATCTGTGGGGGAATCTAATGCTATGCAATGTGCAATCTGTATAAGCTCCTCCAATGATGGGTCAATTTTCTGATTCACTATCACAACTTCAAAGTCAGAACTTCCACCATTCGTTTCAAGTTCAGAAAGAGACGGCATTTTCCCCCGACTTGCAGGACTTGTGAAGAGGCTATATACATCATAGAAACCATCAACAACTTTTTCCTCATAGTCAAGAATGCTGTAATCCTAATGAATAAAAAAAACGACGTTGTAAAGAAATGGCTAGGGATACAAATAACCAAGGCATATCATCCAGCAAACAATCACTGACAAACTTCAAAAAAAAGGAAACAATGTGGAAGTTTCGTTACGTGTAGCAATGCGGAGGTGAGGAGGCAGTATATCTGTTTGTTTATTATCTTTTCTTGTTATAATATAAATTTCAGGGTGGAAATGAATTTCTACTAATTAAGGATATGAAATCTAGTACTCACCCAATAGTGACTCGACAGAAAGTCAGCAGCAGCTTCCTCCCTATCACGAGCAGATTCAGCACTATATCTCCCTCCACCGAGGATCTGACCTTTGCCGGAGTCAAAGGAAGGCTCCTCAGCGTGGGATGAGGAAACACTGAGTGCTAAGGCAAGCTGTATCTGGTAATCCTCTTCGGAGGCATAGTAGTCATGTTGCGGATTGATAGCAGGCGCTCCTGCAGCGGCAACTGGCGCGGCGGCAGCTGAAGTAGATGAGGCAGTCGAAGGACTCTGCGGATGCTGAGAGGTGCTAGATTCGCGCTGATGGGCAGACGGTGGGGAAGATGATGAGGTGAGCACGGTAGAGGAAGACGAAGGCTGAGGAGACTCGTTCGATCGGTTGGGGTGGTGAGGCTTCTTCTTGAAGATGTTCTTCATAGATGACCGGTCTCTGGGAATCACAGATCAGTACAGTAGAATGAATTTATTTAGGAAAATGGTCGCACAGAGGAAATAACTACCTGGGCTCTGGGACTCACATGTGAGAATCAAATTTCAGAGTTCGTATATGGTACCACCGTCTCTCTCTTGAGCACGGTACAGCCGGTCCAATAACAGGCTCAACGGAAAAATAGGGAAAATATTCGGTGGCAGTTTTGTAATTGATGTAAAAATCGTGGTTTCTGCTAAATGAGTATCGGTGTACAGTTAATGAGCAATAGTCCAATTTTAATGAGTATTAAGCGTACAATAATGAGCACCATGTTAGTACAAGAAAGCTGATATCACAACTAAAAACAGTGGCATTTTCGTAATTTTAGTGAAAATTTCGTTTTTCGTTAGATGAACATTAATACATTTTCAATGAGCATCAAATGTATTGTATTGAGCATTAAAAGGCAAATAATGAGTGATGTAATATCAACTTCATACATTGTAATTAACATTTTTTCCTTACCTTTTCTTTTATAAAAACTCATTAAATTATATCTATAATCAATTCTTATGAATTTTAATATGCGAATCTAATGTAATATGATACTTTTGAAACGTACATTGTTATGACATTTTAAAAATGAGCACATCAGTACCAAATGAGCATACGTAACATGCAAATGAACATTGATATGAATATGACATTTTAAAATGCGTATTACATTAATACCAAATGAGCATAAATACCAAATGAGCAACGAAAATTCGTGTTTTTCATTTAGAATCTCTAGTATGCTCAATTTTTCATTTATGTACATCATTTTATTCTCTAGTATGCTCAAGTTTTCATTTGTGTATGCTCATTTGAATTTCCCTACGAAAAATTCAAAAAACTCATTTAGAATCTTTAATATGCTCAATTTTTCATTTCTGTACATCATTTGAATTCTCTAGTATGCTCAAGTTTGCATTTGTGTATGCTCGTTTGAATTTCCCAACGTGCTCAAAATTATCATTTATGTAAGTTCATTTCTTTTATTCATTATGCACATTTATTATAAACACTTTACTCATTACCAATATAACACAAAATTTATGTTAGCAATTAACAAACTCAAAATATTAATACACAATATTAAAATACAATTTAAAAATACATTCAAAAAGGTGATAGTGGGGTTTGACTATTTGAGAACTTTATATGCCCACTTTCTCTCCAACGTACGAAGGATTAAAATCGGCTTCTCCATCATCGACCTCAGCGATTCTCCCGGCCGCGAGCACCTCCTTCGTCGATTAACGAGCAGCGAGCAACACGTCCATCGTCTCCACCGAACAATCTGCAGATCCCTTCTAGCCCAATGGTTCAAGCACAACATGGAAGAAGGTTTGCCACTAGATCTGTAACTAATTGCAAAAAAACCCGGCTGTACCATGCCCTAGGTACAGCCGGTTGTACGATAGTATTTTTGCAAATTTCACGCCAATTTATAAAGGAGTGTTTGGGTTTGTTAAAAAAAGCGCTTTTCAGCTTTTTGGCTTAAAAAATTTGAAAAAAGTGTTTTCAAATGACAGCTTCTGCTTAAATTAATCACTTGAAAGCTAAAAGCTGGAAGCAGGTAGAAGAGTGCTTTAAACTGCTTCTCACTTTTTCTATTACACAAAAAGTACTTATTTTACCAAACACTACCCACTTTTACTTTTCCAGAATCACTTTTTTCTCAAAAACTACCAACTTTTATTATTAATCACTTTTCCCAAAATCATTTTAAAAAATCACTTTTTTAAAGTTGAAGTAATTGCAAACTTATTAATTAAAGTCTTACTTTTATTAGTATCCATCAGTTTTTTCTAATTCTTCTTTTTTGCAAACAATTATGATTTAAAAAGACAAAAAATTTCATGTAAAAATAAATAAATTTGGAGTTTATTTTGTTGTTGTCGTTTCTTTAGGCCTATTTTTTTAAAAAAATGAATTATGTAATAAACAAATTAACCATGAGAGCTTAATTTTAAAACTTGAAAGAAAAAATTATAGGTTAGATAATCTCTAGTAGATGAAATTTCATGTTTTTTGTCTAAATTTTATATATTTAATATTGATGTCATATGAAAGATCATAACAAATTTTGAATTTTGGTATAATTTTTGTAAAAATTGAGATACAAATAAAAATGTTACTCCATATAAGACAAAAAAATAGGGATTTATATATATTATGGGACCCAGTTTTTTCCTTTGATGCAATACCTTTTGGGACTAAGGCTAAAATGTTATCGATTCATGTTAGCCGACTCTGATATCTTTTGGGACTAAGCCTTGGATGTTGTTGTTGTTGTATGCAATGCCAATTGCACCTTCCCTGTTCCCGATGCCCAACAAAAAGCAGAGTTAATAAACCCAATTAATTCTCAACCATGGGGTGTCGGCCATGTACTCACATTGGCACCTCTAAATACATGGGTTGTAAAGTTTCTTGGGGTGAAAAGCTCATGTATGACTCTTTCGCCCATGGATTGCAGCTAGCCTTACCGACTCTTACATAGTTATATCCACTGATCCACCTTTTGCTACTTTTACTCACTCCTTAGAATCTTTTCTTTTGGATTGCTTTCAGTTTCAGACCAGACCAGACTTCCATAGTTATAAAATACACAGAGACCATACATTTATCAGACCAGACCGAACCAACAAATTTCAGACCAAAAGAACACATCCTTGTACTCACTTTTGTGTGAGATTTTTTTGTCTGTAAATCCCGTTTACAGACAAAACAAATATATTTTTGTCTGTGATAAAAACATGTATATTTTGTCTGTGAACGGGATTAACAAACAAAAAATAGTCTTAGACAATGATGAGTATAAGAGGGTGGGTACAAACAAAAATTTCCATATAGATAAACATCATGCATGTTTGGTCTATGTTTTCTTTCCTTTTCTCCCATTTTCAATCAGATTCACATCTACTATCACCATTTTCAGGGGCGGAGCTAGGCGCCAACTAGGTCCCGGCCCTCCCTAAATAAAAAAAAAATATACCTTATAATTTTAATGTAAAAAATATGTATAACTTTTTTCAAAAATATTCTTGTACCGGCCCAGTACCTTGGTTTCGCCTCTCTGCCTCTCTCCGTTTTCCTCACTTCATCTTCATCTTCACTATCTCCATCATCTTCCATTTCCATCTACCTCACCATATGCATCACCTCTCATCTTCATCAGATCTCCCGGCTTTGCAGGAAACAGGTCCGGATGATGATGCCACTCAAACTATCGGATATCCGCAACATGATCTGGAAAAATTGAAACTGCCTGAAGTGGATGAAAATGCACTTCCTTCGGGAAAAGTGGAAGAGCAACTGTCAAGGCAACTGGAGGATCAGTTAAAAGTCACAACTACTACAGATGAGGCGAAGAGGGAGTCTGCTGTGATCGCAACAAAAGAGAAAGTACTAAAGAGGTTTCAGTGGGGGAAGGAGGCAGTTAACAGGACTCAACCAGAATGGGTTCAAAATTCATTTGCACTAAAGTTTAGCATTGAACGGGTAGGCATAGTATTGAAATTCCGAGATGAAGACAAGAGGGGATGGAAGGAAAAAGGGGGCTCTATGTACAAACCTCAGCATGGTGTGGAAGGATTGAAAGGAAAGGCACTTACCAGTAAGGTTGGAGTAGGTACAAATCGTCAAGTCTTGCTTTTATGCTGTTGGTATGGTTTCCAGGTTTGGAATGTGGAAGAACATGGTGGTGTTCAAAATTCAGTTTCCAAGCAGGATGATATTGTTTGATTCATGAAAAGCTCACCCAATCCAATTTTGTCAAAGCAAAATATGCATGAAATTGCTAATAGTTGGCCATTGTTGATAATATGTGCTGATGTTCGAATTATGGGTTGGTTCTATTACTTGAGATTTCACTCGTATGTACATCAGGTGAAGTTCATATCAGTTGTTCATTCTGTTAGATGCAGTTCTAGAGTTGTTAATGTCCTACCAGCAACTCCGATACACTGTGGTAATGCTGCAGTTTTAGAGATGGATGAGGTGAGGTATTCTTTAGGAGTAATTTCTGAGGAAATTAAATGGCACTGGGATGAAAATGTTCTCAATATCAAGGTTGGGACCAACGGTGTTACAGGACTATCAATTGTGCCGAAAGGAGGCAGGGTTAACATGGTTTATAATCATGAAGTGGATGCTGTACTTGCAACAACAGACGGGTCTCTTGTCAAATATCAAATAGAGGGATGCCAGCACTTGGCTGTGGAATCTCCAGGAGTGCATGAACTAAAATTTCAGAGATCTGTTTTATCAAGTGAAGGAGCAGTTCAGGGAGT